TATATGGCTTTGGCCATGACTCACTCTCTCTCAGCCTTAGTTTCCTATATGTAAAATGGGCTCTTGCAAAGGCAATAAAGTCTTGTGAACAAGAAATGCTACACAGATAATATGAACAGTAGGTGTAGGCACTTAAAGCACAAGGATTTCCAAAATGTTTCTATTAGGAACAAAGCCCAGTGGCTTTGTTTTGCTTTCTCAACACTGTGTAAATCCATCCCACCAAGTGTGTCAGACTAAAATCTGAAAGCGTAAACATGAAGTAGGGACCAACCGCTTTCCCATTAATCTTCAGACTTTGGTTCGCATGACAACAGGTCACAACTCTTCTATTGCCATGACAATTTGCTGTGAGATTGTTGAAATGTCATGCCATCAAGTTATTTTTAGTTTATTTACTCTTCCCATGGAGACCAACTTCGACTGAAATCGTGAAACAACTTCATTTTAAGCACTGTGAAAGATACTGGCAGCAAAGATCTCCTTGTCATTGGTGTTCCTCTCTTCCAAGTGATGGTCAATACTTTAATAATAATAATAATAATAATAATAATAATAATTTATTATTTATACCCCGCCCATCTGGCTGGGTTTCCCCAGCCACTCTGGGCGGCTTCCAACTGAATATTAAAAACAGTACAGCATCAAACATTAAAAACTTCCCTGAAGAGGGCTGCCTTCAGATGACTTTTAAAAGTAAAATAGTTGTTTATTGCTTTGACATCTGCACTCATTTTCTCAATTATTGGTAATGTAATGGCTTTGGGTCCCTGGCCTGAAAGGTGAGAGAAGATTCTGTAGTGTTAAATGTGTGTGGCTTGTACCTAAGAGAAAGGGAGATGAGTCAAAAGCAGGAACCTTCAGAAAGAGGCCGCTCTGAAATACTTTGTATGGCTTTCTATGGTTTCATTTACTTTCCCCCCATTTATGCGTGCACGTTTTGCATACACATTAAAGCCATGGTTTTCCCAGTAGTGATGTATGGAAGTGAGAGCTGGACCATAAAGAAGGCTGATCGCCGAAGAATGGATGCTTTTGAATTCTGGTGCTGGAGGAGACTCTTGAGAGTCCCATGGACTGCAAGAAGATCAAACCTCTCAATTCTGAAGGAAATCAGCCCTGAGTGCTCACTGGAAGGACAGATCCTGAAGCTGAGGCTCCAGTGCTTTGGCCACCTCATGAGAAGAGAAGACTCCCTGGAGAAGACACTGATGCTGGGAAAGATGGAGGGCACAAGGAGAAGGGGGCGACAGAGGACAAGATGGTTGGATAGTGTTTTCGAGGTTACCAGCATGAGTTTGACCAAACTGCGGGAGGCAGTGGAAGACAGGAGTGCCTGGCGTGCTCTGGTCCAGGGGATCACGAAGAGGCGGACACAACTAAACGACTAAACAACAACAACAACAACTCTTTACATATGCCTTTTGTGTGCTGCTGTTATGGTGGGGACCAATGTATCAAAAAGTGGGTACAGATTTAAAAGAATTAAGTTATATATAGATAAGTAGATACACTCACCCCACCTTGAAATATCTTCGGTTAGAAAGCCAATTCAAAAATGTACTAAAAGTTGTTACAGTGGTACCTCTGGTTACAGACACTTCAGGTTACAGATGCTTCAGGTTACAAACTCCACTGACCCAGAAATAGTACCTCGGGTTAAGAACTTTGCTTCAGGATGAGAACAGAAATCATGCAGCGGCAGCGGGAGGCCCCATTAGCTAAAGTGGTACCTCAGGTTAAGAACAGACCTCCAGAACGAATTAAGTTTGTAACAGAGGTACTACTGTATTTGTTCAAAATAAAATACATACAATGTGCCCCCACAGTCTGATTCGTGGCAAGCATTTTGATAATGTTGTCTATTTTCATCCAGTTTTGCAAAAGCTTCCCTAAATGCTCACATTTCAGATATTCAACTTTCTATATCAGTGTCTTCAAGTGAAAGCATTTGTTCAGTTTCACATGCAAATGTTTAGCATTTTTTAGAAGAAAAGTGGGACCTGAAACAAATTGTCTCTGTGTGGGGTGCTCCTGTTCAAAATGACAGCCACTCCTGACTTTGCACCAGGATATTCCATTCATTCCATTGCACCTCCAGTTTCCTCTCTGCTCCCCATCAAGCCCAATCAGTATTCCATGCTCAGTGAGCATGCTCAGTTTTCATTGACCTGTTTCCCCTCTCTCCCTTGTGGTTCTTAAGATTTTTTGTGCTTCTGTAAACCTTAGAATTCCTCCAAGCTTGCTGATACATCATGCCCCTGTCTGTGTGTGTGGTTTCATTTTGGCTGCTTCAGTTTTCAGCTTCTGATACTGTCGGATCAAAGACAAGAAAAATCCTGAAGCAAAAGGGAAAGAACTGCGCCTGCAAGATACAAACAACACATTGCCGCGTGTATTCTGTTGCTCTCCAGTAACCAGTGAAAATAAAATGGGATGTTTTACAGACATCTGAGACACTCAGGGGGATAATTCCGCCCGGCATTTAATTGAGGAATTTCATGCCGCTACAATGGAATTTAATTTAGATTTACAGCCTTGTTAAACGCGCAGCCTTTCTGTTGCTGATTTTATAGTGCCTTGTCAAAAAGGGTTTGTTCCATGACCAAGTGGGATTTCTGTTGGTTACTGTAAAAATGCAGTAGCCGTAAAATCAGGACTGCATTTAACCACTAAGGTACAGAAAGCTCGCTCTTGTCCCATTCTGTAACCTGCCTGCCACCCTTGGAGGTGTCTATGGATTGCAGTGGCTGCCAGCTCTCAGTCTTGGTTACCGTGTTTCCTTATGATGTTGAACATGTGTACAGTGCATATATGCAAGGGAAGCATAAGGAAGTGGAGTAGCCAACCAGAGGTATTGGTGGTGGCTAGGAGTAATGGGGAATTGGGTCCTGCTGTGAGCCCCTTGGGCCAAACTGATGTTCAGTGCACCTTTGCATTTCACACACTGTTGTGTTAAGATACAAATTATAATTATAGTTACTACCGCATGTGTGCTGGGGAAATTTAACTCCATCCCCCAAGCAGTTGCTATTTGCATTTTTTAAAGTGCTCATTGAATGGATATTCACATTTAACATCATATCTAGTTGGGACTCAAGTGCGATTTTCAATGGGTGCAAATTCCTTTTCGTTACTTGCAAATTGCAATAGAAGTAACAACTGTACAGTCATACCTCGGGTTACAGCCGCTCTAGGTTGTGTTTTTTCGGGTTGCAGACCGCCGAAACCCGGAAGTACAGGAACGGGTTACTTCCAGGTTTCGGCGGATGCACAGAAGCATTAAATTGTGCTTTGCGCATGCGCAGAAGTGCCAAATCGCAACCCGTGCATGCGCAGACGTGGGTTGTGAACGTGCATCCCGCACAGATCACGTTCGCAAGCCAAGCATCCACTGTATTTGTTTGTACTTAAACTTGCCTTTGTGTTCTATTTTCTTCATTCGCCAAACAGGGAGTTGACTTTTCTGGAGCCCCCCCACCCCAGAACAGTTTAAATTTGACAATGAAAACTTATTTCAAAGAACAGCTTCTTTTTCACAAGATTGTTGTCTGGATGGGATCCAGAAAGACGTGACATTTGCTGATCTCTGCACCTTTTTATTGTAGCCAAAAAGCAGCACTTGACTCACTTCCAGAGCATCTCTTGTAAGCAGAGCCAGCCAGACCTCTTAATCTAAACAGGAGCCCTTGGGGAAGGTAAAAAATTTATGCACCCCAGGGAAGTAGCACGCAGTCTTAAAGGTGGATTGCCAGGACTCCTGGGTTTAATACTGTAACACGCACTCCTTATCTGGGTTTTGAAACCTGAATGGCTGCATGATAATTTGTGGTTCAGGCCCCTTTTGTCCCTTCAGTGGTCGCACTGCTGATTTAGCAGTGACTTTCCCCACTTCCATCCCTCTGAATAATGAACCTGTAAAATGAAAATACGACTGCTTGAAGATGGTTGGGTCTTCTGTGATGTTATTTTTTTCTAAGCTTGTGCACTGTTATCAAGCAATTCCAAGCATTATCTTTAAAAATATACATTTATTGACCTCTGGCGACAACCTGCCTCTCACGGAAAGACATTTTGGGATGAAGGATGTGTGGAAGTGGCGGGGAACCCAGTCTGAGACCCTTGTAGTAACTGGAAATAATTGATTTTGCCTGTCGAGCCACTCTTCTGATCTTGTAGTAGTTCATTGTTTGTGTTTGCTTATATGCGGCATAACAAATGAAGCGCTATAAAAGACAACAAATTCTGAACAGCCTCATAAGCAGATATATGTATAATTGCTTCAGTTAAAAAAAGAAAATGAGAAAGTGGCACTTGAATCCCTTGCTCGTAGGAGAGGAAGCAGTCTGATCTGTGAGGTGTTTGTGTTGCAGTGCATGCTCTGGTTATCTCCCGCTTGGACTACTGCAATGTGCACTATGTGGGGCTACCTTTGAAGGCTGCCCGGAAACTGCAACTAATCCAGAATGCGGCAGCTAGACTGGTGACTGGGAACGGCCACCGAGACCACATAACACCAGTCTTGAAATATCTACATTGGCTCACAGTACGTGTTGGTGCTGACCTTGAAAGCCCTAAACAGCCTCGGCCCAGTAGACCTGAAGGAGTGTCTCCACCCCCATCATTCTGCCCGGACACTGAGGTCCAGCTCTGAGGGCCTTCTGGCGGTTCCCTCCCTGCGAGAAGCAAAGCTACAGGGAACCAGGCAGAGGGCCTTCTCGGTGGTGGCGCCCGCCCTGTTGAACGCCCTCCCACCAGATGTCAAGGAAATAAACAACTATCTGACGATTAGAAGACATCTGAAGGCAGCTGTGTTTAGGGAAGTTTTTAATGACTGATGTTTTAATGTATTTTTAATCTTTTGTTGGAAGCCGCCCAGAGTAGCTGGAGAAACCCAGCCAGGTGGGCAGAGTATTAATAATAATAATAATAATAATAATAATAATAATAATAATAATAATGATGGAATAATGCCAGCCTCTATGCTTCATTCCTTGTAGGGAGCTGCGGCTACTTGGATGGTGAAAGATATGGGCGGCTGCTGGAGAATTATCAGGAGTAGACTTGCATGCCAATACAGTCCCCCTCCACTCTTCCAAATTAACTGTTAAATAAAGCTTGTTCATTCCAAGAGCTGCTTTTGTGACACCAGTCTCTTCAAACAAACACTCAGTTAATTAATATTGAAGTGCATTTGAAAAACCAGGGGGGAAACTGTTCAGGTAAATGGGTGTTTTGGTCAGCTGCATGCTTGATAGCTCTGCAGAAGACACAGGCACCCGCAGATCTGGCTGCCAATTTAATACTGCTTTTTTAAAAAGCATTCCTTCCTTGCTACTGAAATTTCAAGACGAGCTTCTTGCAGCTGTAAACGTTTCCACGTGACAGCCGGTTAGAGCTGAGATATTTCTCCCGTAGGCCAGCGTGCACATCTGTGCTGGCAAATGACATTAGCTGACCCCCTCTGGTGTTAGCATGGTGTGTAGCTTCGGCAGGGCAGCGTTCACGCTATAATGCTGCAAGGATTCTGGAAAGCACGTGACTTGACATCTTCATCAGCTTCTTTGCCAGTGGGCATGCTTTTTGTGAGACGTCTTTCTCGACACTGTCCGGGTGTGTGACACTGACATGCCAGTTTTAAAATCATTATCCTGATTTTAGTTTGCTAGGCATCAGGGTGGATTTGATTTGATTTAAATCACGATTTAAATCACTCGCCAGTAAGGCTTGATTTAAATCACTTTTTTTACAGACTCATTCTTGCTGGTATAATCTTAATATTTACAACTGGGAAGAAGGTCCTGGAACCAGTGATCTCTTATTAGTTGACTGGCAAGCACTTCAAGGTCTTGCCAAGGACTTACGGATCCCAATTACTATTTCCACCACCACATCACTTTGGATTTGCTTCTACATTCAGGTTCCTATTCTGTGCAGTTAAGTGTTAGTGCAGTTGTTGGAACCCAGTGGGATTCAAATTTTTGACTTCCATCAATCCTGTCTGGAAATTTTCCAATCTAATCTCTCAGTATGCATTTCTTCTCTTCCCTGTTACATTTCAAACTCATAATCGATATCTCTATCTTTTTCTACTTTGTAACACTTCGTATATTTCTCCTTACAAAACTTCTTGTAGTCCTACTAGCATAATTTGTTGATTACAGTTGCTCTTCAAATAATTCATATACTTCCAATCTTCTGTAAATCTCTGGTCCCGCAGGTTTCGAATCCTTCCTGTCATTTTGTCCAATTCTGCATAGTCCATTAATTGGTTGCACTTTCATTTTTACTGCTTCACACTTAGCTACTTGTGCAGATCTATTCCACCCCAAACAATCTATTCATTGAACCTCTTGGAACTTAGTATTTAAGAGGTAAAGGGTTGATTTGGTGTACAGTGGTACCTCGCAAGACGAATGCCTCGCAAGACGGAAAACTCGCAAGACGAAAGGGTTTTTGGTTTTTTGAGTTGCTTCGCAAGACGATTTTCCCTATGGGCTTGCTTCGCAAGACGGAAACGTCTTGCAAGTTTGTTTCCTTTTTCTTAAAACCATTAATACAGTTGCGACTTGACTTTGAGGAGCAACTCATAGCACGCGGTGTGGTAGCCTTTTTTGAGGTTTTTGAAGACTTTGGTGATTTTTGAAGCTTTTCCAAAACTTTTCCGAAACCGTGCTTCGCAAGACGAAAAAATCGCAAGACGAAAAAACTCGCGGAACGAATTAATTTCATCTTGCGAGGCACCACTGTATATAAATTTGCAAGGGAACAATGGGGTTAGGGTTTTCCCCTCAACTCTATGTTCATTTTGTAACATTTTTCCTGTGAAGAAAAGGCATGTTATCTCTGCAGACACAAATTCACACTTTTGAGAACTGCAAAAACAAGCATCTGTGATAATATCTTTTCGTTAGAAAAACTGCCCCAAATAATCTTACAGAAACCTCTGGAAGATCATGACATTGTGAATGGATTAATGGAATTCATTTACCGAAAAATTTAAACATTGCTACATAATTAAAAACAAATCCTTATTTCCCAATGAATAACCTTTGGACTATAATGTAACTTAAATAGAAAACTATATTTAGAAATATTTTTCCTCCGAAAGCATTTTATTTTAAAAAATCCAATTTAAATTAAAAAAAAATCTGATTTTTTTTTAAAAAACCCATTGATTTTTATCCACCCTGCTAAGCATGGAGCAGTATGATCCTGGAGGGGGGGGGGATTTTTTTCACAGTCCAACTGATCTCATGGTGGTGGATCCGTTCCCTGATAGGCAACTCTTTGTCTCTTTGGCTTATTTTGTTTGGTCCCTTTCACCAGCTGCTTCCACTGACTCCTTGGTCTCTGCAACTAGGAAGTCATCCTGTCAGGTTAAGGGGATGGGGCAGCCCTTACAAAATTGTGTGTGATTTCTTCTCTCGCACAAAACTGGAGGGCAACTAAGATTCTAAAGGACCTGGAAACTAAGCCTTATGAGGTAGCAGGATGTATTTAACATTTAACAGGGAGAAGCAAAGACTAAGAGTTGATATGATAGTCATCTTCAAATATCTGAAGGGCTGTCACGTGTAAGATGGGTGTTAGGAGCGCCCTACTCTCGTGTAGGACCCTGGTAGAGACACATGCCTGACTGACATGTTCTCTCCCTCCTGGTTGGTCGTTTGGGAGCTTCAAAAGCTTTCTCCAACCCGAACATCACAGCGACTAATGCCAAAAGGCATTAGCACACTTAGGGATCCGCAGAGTATTGGCAGTTTGCGTAACAGAACTCAGTAGCACAGCATTTTGGCTAATCTACTTTATTTACATATAATACACTCAGAGCATTCTGCCTTAGCTCCTGCCTCTTTCTCATCAGACAGAAGAGAAAACAAAGCACAATAGTCCCACTTCACGGAACACAGTGACACAAACATCCTGTCTCCGTCACTTCCCACACTGTGGAATGAAAACATACACCATCATGCGATAGACAACAATCCCATGACTGCAGACACGGGGAATGAATCTCCAACCTTTGGAACTGAAGGACACTCTTTCATTGGAGGTATTTAAACAGAAGTTGGATGGCCACCTGTTAGGATTCTTTGGTTGTGATTCCAATTTGGCCCTTCCAACTCTACAGAAGGTTGGAGAAGGCTGCGTGAGTAGCTCTTGTAATGCTGAAGAATGAGGCTTTCACTGATGGAGCCAGGATTTTTAAGGAATCAGTTCTGCCCTTTCCTTGCCACTGGGCTAACATGAACAACCCAGCAACAACTGCTCACCACACCAAGTTTACTGGGCCTCAGAGATAACAGATTATCCAGAGTCACCTGAAACACCATCTGCGAACTGGGATTTAAACACAGACCCACTCAAATCACAATCCAGGAAATTAAATTAGACTTCATTTATACCATGCATTTGAAGCAGATTCTCCCCCTCCCAGTAGTCTGGGAACTGTAGTTTCCTCGCAGAGCTACAATTCCAGCACCCTTAATAAATGACAGTTCCCAGATTCTTTGGGGATGGGTGGGGAATGTGCTTTGATGTATGGTGTGAGCACGGCTTTAGGTGTGCGAATTTCTTTGGTTTCCTTTTTACAACCTGCCTGTTGAGAAAGGGTTTGCCATTGTAAGAATCAGGATTGGGGCGATCAAAGGAATTCCTTCAAGTGAACTGGTGCCGGTGGTGCAAAATCGTGTCCTCTTGACGATGCAACCAGATATTTTAATGAAAAGGGGACATGCATGCAGAGATCAGTGACTTGAGGTCCTCTTAGATAATAAGAAAGGCTGAATTAATGGTGGCAGGAGGGCTGACTTTCTAAAGATGAGGTTTCTAAAGATGAGGTGCCTTCCTTTTGCTTTCAAAGATTGTGCTTTATCTCTCCACAACAGTCAAGAGCAGATTGCATGAGGGTTTTTTTAATGTCTTGCTTATAATCTCTCAACGTACATCAAAATGGCTTTTCGCCCTCCTGAGTGTTCAGCTTTTGCATTCATATATTAAAGGCTAGAAACACAATATGCTTTCTCCCTCCGCCTCCCCAGCCCGGCTTTGATCTATAACCTTGAAAATGTAGATTGCTTCCATTGATTTTTCTTTGTTTTGTTTTGTATTTTGTTGTGTGTTATCTGTCGGTGGAGTATACGGTGGCCACGATCTAGAATTTGCTTTTGAAGCTTTAACAGCGTTATGTGAGCATACAGTGTTTTGAGCAGCGAGCAGCGGAGTCAGAATGAATTAAGGTAATTTTGTGCTAAGGCTGTGTTCTCCGCTATGGAAGAAGCAATACAATCTCTGCCTGAAGGGAGAGTTAATATTTTTTACATTCCGGCAGAGTGATGCAATAATGAGCTGGTGGATGAGCAGAGTGAAAGTCATGGAGTCAAAAGAAGACAGTTACAGGCTCATGCTTCCAATGGCTGGTGTAGAAAGGAAATAGGAGATAACCAACACCACTCTTCTGTACGTGTATATTATGTAAAAGATGCGATATCTGACCCAGAAATCACATCTTTGTATGGCCTGTTGATTAAACCATTTGGCATAATATTTTAGCTTCTTGTGAAAATCTAGTTGATTGTGTTATGGCAGAATGGGAAATGGCTGCATAATCTCTTTTGTGTATATAATTCTCTCTTTCCCTCTTCCTCATTAGTGTGTGTACACAAAGAAGCATATATTACGTGAAGAGGAAGTCCTGGAAATGAGGCGAATCCATTACCTCTCCACCATATTGCTAGATTTGAAGAGGGAGATTTCCATGCCTAGCAGCATGTGACCTGCAAACGGGCAGCCTAACAGCAACTCTGTTTAGCTCAGGCTCGTCTGGCTGCCTTGCCATTTGTTGAGTTATTCCATTTAACAATATTCATATGCCACTTGATTGTAATTCAACCTCAAAGTGGTTTACAGAAAATAAGGCATTAAGGGTTGGATTCAACTATATAGCTGCACTAGTGGGAGCCTTCACGGTGAGTCCTGCTAGTGCAGTAGGTCTTTCCTTCCTCTCCCCTGCTGATCCCCACCAAGTGGTTATGGAAGAGTCAAGAGAACTCAGAGGAGGAGAATATTCCAAGTGCGACATTGAATTCCACCCAATAATTATCAATAAAAGACAGCTAAAAAAAGGTATTTCAAAACCATTCCAAGCTAATGAAAATAAACAGTAAGCTATAAACAAATTAAGACACATGTAACTGCCTAACCCAAAATGTTTTAAGCAGGTGATGGAAAGAGTCTTCTTCTTCTCAGGCAATCACTCATAGCCAAGTAAGATTGTCTTCCATGAGCACAATCTTAACAGTGAGTCCGCAAGTGACTGTGGAGGCCAGTTCTGGACCCACACGTCTTTCCACAGTGGGGACATAGGTTTCTGGGTGGGAGTTGATCACGTGTGGATTTGCCAGGCATGCCTTCCTCTTAGTACGTTTCTCCCTTGCGTCCTGAGTTTGAGTGTCTTCAAAGCCCATACAAAAAAATTCCTTCCAGTAGCACCTTAAAGACCAATTAAGTTAAAGTCAAAGCCCATGACACCTTTGGTAAAGACTGTTCTCCACTTGGAGTGTTTGCAGGCCAGTGTTTCCCAGTTGTCAGTGTTTATACTACATTTTTTAGATTTGCCCTGAGAAAGTCTTTAAACCTTTTTTGTTGACCACCAGCATTACGCTTTCCATTTTTAAGTTGGGAATATAGCAGTTGCTTTGGAAGACGAACCAGGCATCCGCACAATATGACCAGTCCAGCAACATTGATGTTGATGAATTCTATTGCTTTGACACTGGTGATCTTTGCTTCTTCCAGTAACCTGGCATTAGTTCACTTGTCTTCCCAAGTGATGTGTAAATTTTATTGGAGACACTGTTGATGGAATCTTTCAGGGAGTTGGAGACGGCATTTATAAGTGCTCCATGTACAAGCATACAGTGAGGTTGGTAGTACAATAGCTTTGTAAACAGGCATTTTGGTTTCCCTGCGAATGTCCCTGGCCTCAAACACTCTGCACTTCAATCGTCTTACCTGATGTCTTCTATCTGAAATCCTTTTAACTAGATCCAGGGCATCCACATCATATGCAGCTGTTACGTTCCATGGATGGCACATATACGCAAAAGTGCATATACTCAAACCACCACCTTGGAACTGTCCCTATGTGCACCATCTTGCCTTACCAGATAGCTTGTAGGCTCTCTGCCTTGCTTAAAGGTAAAGGGACCCCTGACCGTTAGGTCCAGTCACGGACGACTCTGGGGTTGCAGCACTCATCTTGCTTTATTGGCCGAGGGAGCCGGCGTACAGCTTCCGGGTCATGTGGCCAGCAGGACTAAGCCGCTTCTGGCGAACCAGAGCAGCGCACGGAAACGTCATTTGCCTTCCCGCTGGAGTGGTACCTATTTATCTACTTGCACTTTGACATGCTTTCGAACTGCTAGGTGGGCAGGAGCAGGGACCGAGCAACTGGAGCTCACCCCGTCGCGGGGATTCGAACCGCCAACCTTCTGATCGGCAAGCCCTAGGTTCAGTGGTTTAGACCACAGCGCCACCCACATCCTTGCTTACTGATATCCAAATTGAATACTTGGAGGGAACTTTCCTCCTGCTATATGTTTGAGGGTAGGATGAAGCAAAAAGTTAATTTAAAATAGTAAGAATTTTTCTTGTTTGTACAGAACATTACTTCCACGTACCTCTGTGAAAGGCAGGCAGACATGTTGCAGTTAGCAATCCGAATAACACTATAAAAATGTGAAGTATGTTGCAGAAACGTAAATCTCTGGAACCTGCATTCTCCTCTCGTCTTTTTGGAACACACTCAGAATAATTTGTAGCTACTGGGAGTTTGTGATATTGGCACAGCTCAGCAGAAGGCTTCTGCTAGATTTTTCCTGGTGTTCCAAACTATCATGAGCAGTAAATTTACTCTTTTGAAAAAAATGAATACCCTTTCCTGCCAAGGAATAACACTTCTTAAAGGTTAAGCCTATCTCCAAAGATATTTAATCTGCTCTAGGGCTCCAGAACTCCACACCCTTTCCATCTCGCAAAATCTGTACTTCAAAATTTTCCAAACAAGAAAAGAACAGGATTTAAAAGATTGCAAAATCTTCATAATGAAAATAACTGGGTATAGCATGAGCTGTAAATATCCTATCCTCCTGAGGGGATGCCCCGGAAGCTATATGGGAGAACAGTCAGCATTTCACTATTAATCTCTTTAACATTGTCTGTGCCAAACATACTCCTCCGTTGCTCCTGAGGTCGTGACAGCTATCACCCAGTGACTAATACCCCCTTTATGGGCAACATGCTGGAGAGAGTGGTGGCAGTTCAGCTGTAGACACTTCTGAAAGAAATCAATTATCTGAACCCAGTCCGATCTCTCTTTTTGGTGAAAGTTCAGCATTCAGACTGCTGTATCCTGCTGGTTCTTCCCCTCCACCCCTTCCCTCTTTTTGCACAATGACTGCTGATGTCACAGTACCAAGTTGGGCAAACACTATTTATGACTACAGTGGTACCTCGCAAGACGAATGCCTGGCAAGACAAAAAACCCGCAAGACGAAAGGGTTTTTTGTTTTTTGAGCTGCTTCGCAAGACGATTTTCCCTATGGGCTTGCTTTGCAAGACGGAAACGTCTTGCAAGTTTGTTTCCTTTTTCTTAACACCGTTAATACAGTTGCGACTTGACTTCGAGGAGCAACTCATAGCACGCGGTGTGGTAGCCTTTTTTGAGGTTTTTGAAGACTTTGGTGATTTTTGAAGCTTTTCCAAAACTTTTCCGACACCGTGCTTCGCAAGACGAAAAAAATCGCAAGACGACAAAACTCGCGGAACGAATTAATTTCGTCTTGCGAGGCACCACTATTCTCCCCTCCTGCAACCCCCTGGCATCTCAACTGTGTTTGAGTGTTAAATACAATCTGTGTTGCTTCACTGAACGCTGTGCAAGATCCTTATAGCATCTACACCTGTCCACTTAACAATAAAACTATCTTCTATTTTTAAACCTCGGCAGCACAACTCCATCTCTTTCATTACTTGAAAGTCCAGTCAAAACTCCAGGCTCGGCTCAGAACTAAAAATAGGTTTCTACAGCTAGACCACTGCGAGTCTCCAATCCTTGTTTTGAAGCTCACATGATTGAAAATGCCTGCAGTTGTCATGGCCCCAGGACTGAGATATCGGGCAGCAGTTGAGAAGTGGGGTCAGACTTGCTCCCCAATCCTTCCCACACAGGACCCTCTGCTTTCGATCCTGTGCCCCATCTGCTAACACCTTAGGAAGTATCACAGCACTCAGACCCTGAAGAGTGGAACTTGAACTTTTCCAGAAAGCTAGAATGTAGTGTTTTTTCAACCAGGTCCCCACTAACCACATCCTTCACCCACAAGAAGGAGCCGGTAAACTGGAAAGAAGATGCAGGTCCTTTAAGATGGCTGGTTGTAGCACTAAGAAGGGGTTGAATCTCCAGAAGTACCTTAGGGAAGCTTTTAATGTTTAACAGGCCACTGTATAGTGGTGCCTCGCAAGACGAAAAGAATCCGTTCCGCGAGTCTCTTCGTCTAGCGGTTTTTTCGTCTTGTGAAGCAACCCTATTAGCGGCTTAGCGGATTAGCGCTATTATCGGTTTAGCGGCTTAGCTGCTAAAAGGCTATTAGCGGCTTAGCGGCTTAGAAAAAGGGGGGGGAAGCGGGGGGGAAATCGCAAGACTAGCAAGACGTTTTCGTCTTGCGAAGCAAGCCCATAGGGAAAATCGTCTTGCGAAGCAACTCAAAAACGGAAAACCCTTTCGTCTAGCGGGTTTTCCGTCTTGCAAGGCATTCGTCTTGCGGGGCACCACTGTATTTTAATACTTTGTTGGAAGCCGCCCAGAGTGGCTGGGGAAACCCAGCCAGATGGGCGGGGTATAAATATTAAATCATCATCATCATCATCATTACTACTACTACTACTACTACTATTACTATTATAGCTACAGGGTTGCTATAATAGAAGAAACCTGTAGACAGAAGAAACCTGTAGCAGCGAAACCAGACACCTTCATCTCCCTCACCTTGAATAAAACCTGTCTCTCCCATATCAGTCTCTACAGCCACAGCAGGCGCTGTAACAATTCCAAAGGTTTGACATAACCCCAGAAGGTGCACTCCTCCATTGAGACGGAGGCCAGCAATTTGCAGTGCTGTCCAGGGTCCTGAACACGCCTTGCTCCAGATCAGCTCTAGCTAGAACCACCTTGCCTCGCATCTTCTGGGAACCACCACCATCCTGGAACAACAGAATCTCTGATGGATCGGGACACCGACCACATACTAAGACATTTCTTTTCCCTGAAGTATCTAGAGATGTAGTTGGTTTGCTTTGGTTTCCCCTGATTGTTTAAAAGATGAATAGTCTTGCCCACCAGAACTAGAAAGCTTGGGGTTTTTTAAGTATAGCAGCTGTATTTTGCAGGTGATCTAAAAACAATAAAATGATACAAATAGTGATCTGACTACCCATGGCAGAAAGACAACCACATATATTGGCCGTGTGTTTCACCAAGACTGACTCCGGC